TTTTAAACTAGTATTATAAAAACTCTATCATTCTGTTCTAATAGCTGAAACATATTCCTGTGAGTTTTCATTTGTCGAATGAACTGTTTGTCAAATACAGAATACATATATTTTAGAATAATTTTCTTTTTAAAATGTGGATGAAATGTTTTGCTTTTAATGTATTTTTTATGTATTGTTTTTGATTTGATAACTTTGAACTAAACAGATTTTCTATTAGCTTCAGATCTTGATCAAAGTTAGGCACCCAGTTCATAGGAGTGCTTATATTGATTTTCTGACATCTTGTTTTCTGTAAAGATTTTATTGGTAGGTTTGCAAATGTGTATCAGACTGTGCACTCTCTCCATGAGTTGGTTTTGAAACCCAGTATGGGATTCTGAGATACATTACCAAGGATATTATTACAAGATAAATCATTTGCTTCATTGAACACATACAACAATGCATATTTCCACTGAGATCAGTGACCTTTGATGTGTATCACCAGTGATCAGTCAAGTAGAAACAGTCAAAATATTTTATCAGATTTTCTCAAACTCAGGGAAGACTTTATACTGATGAATAAGGTGACCAAGTTTGATATAGTTTGGAATAGAATTAGTAAAGTTATTATGCACACAATAACAATTATTAACGACGACGACGACAACGACGACGACAACAACAACGACAACGCCGGACAAAATTTTTCCCTTAATATACCTTTCCCTTCCATCTTTGATGGTACGGGCAAGGTAAAAAAAAAAATTGCAAATTTAAATTTATGGCTGGAGCAAGGATATTCAGACAGCTTTGTTGTCACCTTTAATAACATTTTTAGTTAACTAGAACAACATCGCTTTTCATATTTGACTCCACATAAATTTACAATACTGGCAAAATAATTTAAATCACCATGAGTACATATATAATCTACCTGTTTCTTGTTTCCATTGTTCATCAGGATTTCAATATTTGACATGAAAGGATCCAGCGTTCGGAAAATCTTGATAAGTTTAGGTTTTCCAAGAATAAGAGAGTACTCATACAGAACCTATTAGGAAGGAGAAAACATGAAATAAACATAAATCAACAGAATATTTATCCAGATCATGTATCTTGACATCTAAAACAAATTCTCAGATACTAAAAAGATAAATATAAGCATACATGTATGTGATCACATCAATCGGTTTTCAATAGAATGCCAATTTTATTATGTCCAAATCTATTTTTCTGTCACGTATATTGATAGTTATTGTTATGCTTAAACATGGTTGATAGGATGCGATTTTATCATAGATGTACAATTTCATCATTATTATGATCAAATATTACTCTCGTCATCAATAACTGGACATAATTACGTCATTATGATTATGATTTATCATTAAATTTAAATGTTGCATTTGCGACACAACAGTATTCGTTAAATGAAAAATCAAAATCACTAATACACATACGATGGTTACTGTACAACCAGTGCACATATGTATTAGAGAATTTCATTGTTTCATTGAATGAATACACAACTTTGTGCTACAAGAACAGCATTATCTATTAAAATACAGTATTGAATGACAATACCAAAAAATGTTTTGTCCATCTTGCATCTTTAAGGTTAAAAAATTAAAAATTTCATGAAATTAACTCATAGTAGCTGCTGACATAGAAAGTAATGCAAGTAAATAACACTGAATTAACATCATTAGTACTATGTCAAATAACTATCTAGGTGCTGTTTGTATATGCATAGCCATCTGCCTAGGTGCTGTTTGTATATGCACAACCAGCTATCTAGGTGCTGTTTGTATATGCATAGCCAGCTATCTAGTCAATTTCGAGTACTAACGTAATTGCCATCCTTGAAGCATGGAATGTCTTCCAGTATTTGTGGGATTTCACTGAGAGATATACCGCATGACATCAATCGTTTACGATACTGGAAAGTTTCTCTGAGAAGATTCTTTATCACTTTATCATCGGGCAATGACTTGATCCACTCCATCTGTAGATTCTGTAAATTCTTCTCATACACTTCCTCTGACATAAAGGTCTCCACAGCATACGAGTCACTATTGGTAGGTGACAATAGTTCCTCTTTCATGGGTCTTTTTTCAGGCGGTTCATCCAGTAGCTGTTGAGTTCTTCTCTTGTTGGCCCATCTTATATGACGGATCTTCTGACTTAGGTTTTTGGTGAACAGAGACTGTAATAAAGTTAACAATAACAATAATTGGTTATAATAAAGCAAAAATATTAGCACAATATACTAGTCAACAGGTCCCTAAATGAATATTACGCTGACTATATTAGTCAACAGGTCCCTAAATGAATATCACATTGACTATATTAGTCAACAGGTCCCTAAATGAATATCACATTGACTATATTAGTCAACAGGTC